TAATACAAAACAAAACACTTTAAGAGAAAAGTTACAAAAAATAACAGCCATATGTTATGCTGAAATATCTAATCATGGCTTCTTAATATAGAAAAAGAAAGGCAGAGTAGACCAGAAAAAAAGAACAAAGTCAGAAAGGTAGTGAGGTAAAATAAATATTTATATTCCAAATGTGAGTTCTAAAAATTATCAAAAGTTACATTTTATAAAATCACATTCAATCATGTTTGAGATATACTTTTTATAATATATATTCATCTCACATTTTTATTCCAAACATATTTTAACTTTTAAAAAGTGCCAAATACTTTCAAAAGTCAAATATAATATTTTCAAAGGGAGCCTATTTTTTTGATTTTTTTTTTGCCAAGTAGTTTTTTGGTAATTTAAATAATTTTTAGACAATGTTTATATTTAAATAAGAGCATTTTAGTTCAATACATATGATTTAATGGTCAACAAATGGTTAGGTGGATGAAATAAAATCTTAAAACTAGAAGAGAAGCTTGTATTTTATAACTATTTATATTAAAAAAATGATCTATAGGTTTTAAAAAATAAAAAATATATATCATTAATTAAGATAAAATAAAAGAAATGTCAAAATATTTTACTCATTTTTAATATATAAGTTTCATATTAACAATTTAATTTTTTGTATATCTCACATATACCTCTTTTCCCACAAAGCCAACATTATATCTTTTTGTTTGATAAACTGTAGTTCTTCCAAATAAATTATGTATTGTATATTTGATTACACAATTTTGCTAGATATCAATAAAATATTTTAATTAGAAAAAACAAAACCTTTGGATTTTGAATACAAGTTGAGAATATTTTTGAGGAAAAGAAAAATTACTCTTGGATCAGCATCTTTCACATCGATTTTCTTATACTTTATATTAGAAGATATATTTTCAATTTTGTTGACAATAAATTTAGTGTACAATAATTTTAAAAGATAAAATCATGGAGAGAACAATTGTAAGATATAGAATTAATTTTTTTAAATTAATTTTTATAGTTATTCACATTTTAAATTAAATTGCATTCCTGATCTAGGGTCCTGATTCCATCGCTCGTTGGCGAGCTTCTGACAAACAAAGCTGTGCCCCACTGACACTCTAATTAAAGCGGTATTAGTTTCCCGCTAACCAGTTTGATTAGTACTGTGTCATTTTCATCATTTAGTTTGCGTCAACGTAACCCTTCATTATTCTCCATCTTCTCTTAATTATTGGCTCCATTTTTATGTATTTCATTGTCTTTAGATAGAGAAACGAAATAATCAAATCCCTTTAATTAATATATAATAGGTGTTCATTAAATTTTCCCGCCCTATAAAAACTACCCGAAGAGAAAATTTTAGAGGAAAAAAATAAACTTTTCTTTTCTTGAATGTTAAGAGGAAATGAAAAGAAAAGAAAAGCAGTAATAAAATATGTGTGTGTGTGTTTTCTCTCTAGAATATCTCCACGTCAAAGATAAATATTTGGAGAAAACATGTGGGTTTCATTTTTTTTAAATTAAAGATAGAAAACTTATTCTCCATTGTTCTTTTATTCATATTGTCACTTCCCACTTTTATATCCTAGTTATTTGTTGACATTAGCAACATATTTAATGTCAATGAGGTCCAGAATGATAAATAAAGGACCTCATAAAAACATTAATGTCAAGTTAAAATCTCTTCACAATTAAAATTTTCAAATTCAATACTCCTAACTTTGTCCTATGTTTCAATACTAAATTCTTTTTTAAAAGTAAAAAATAAAATCTTTTAAAAAAATTTGAATTGCCATTATTTTTTTTATAAGATCCTTACTTGTCATTCTCCTAAAATGTAGTGCCTCAATGGATATAGAAATACAATAGCGTCAGTACTTTTTTTATGGAAAATATCAGCACCATTAATTTAATTAGTTGTTGGGACGTTATCATATAAATATTTATACATTTATAAGAAGTAACTCATCTATATCATGAGCCATAACGAATCATTTATCGCAGAGATTATTAAGTATAACAATAAAATAAATTATATAAGAAATAAATTTTTATGTTCACATTTTTAAAAATAATAAATAATAGTAGAAGCTAATTAATGACAACAATTGTTTGTAAGTTGGAGACAAAATTCATTTTCTTTTTCGTTTCAAATGGCCTTTTATTGAAGAGTGAGATCAAAGGCCCAGTGACCGTTGTGTTAAAAGTTGATGTTGGGCTCACACTTTGACAGTTCACACTAAGTATTCATGTTTTGTGTTTAAAAAATTGTTGAATGGAGGAGGGAAATATTTGGAAAAACTATCCCTAATTAAGTTTCTCGTTCATTTAAAAATATAAGATATTTTTAACTAAATTTTATTCTCAATAAAATAATTATTTACTTTTAAACTAATTCTATCTTTTTATATTTACTCTTGTTAAATTTCCTATATAAATATAAAATTATTATTAATAGGGATACTTTAAAAAAATATAATAATTACACCTCAAAAGACTAAAAATTATCTTACATTTTTTAACATCCAACTTCTCAAAAACTATCTTATATTTTTTAATAAAAGAGTGGATAATACTTAAATTTGATTGAGTCAAATAATTATATTCTTTCAATTCAACTGTATGTGTGGCATGCAACTCTACATTGCATTGCTCCAAGAACTGGACCGACTATATCAGTTAAACCATTGACACCAAAGCCATTAACGGTTTGATTTGGATTAAAGAATATGCCTAGTTGAATCAAGTTAGATCAAAGTTGAACTAGCATTGAGTCAAAATTACAAAATATTTAAAAAATCAAACAAGTATAAACTTAAAAGACTAAAAAATTTTAAAAATTAAAAAATTTAAAATTAAATCATACTATAAGCCAACTTCATTTTTAAACCCTTCATATGTATAACATGATTTGGGACCATCTTTCTAGGGGTATGTTACATCTATAAATATAAATGTATATACTTTTAAGTTTACTCATACTTGATTTAAGAAAAATTCACTAATATTTAATAAGTTATAAATCATAACTTATAATATTGATAATTTATGGTTATATTGTGTTATTTCTTAACAATTAGATATAATGTGGTTTATTTCTTATATATATATATACACACACACACTTAATATTTTTTTATTCAATTATTTTGTCACCAGCTCCACTGCCAATTTAATTGGTCGGTTATAAAAATTATGACCCAATAACATTTCTGATTTAATATCCATCTTGCTTTGAAACATTGGTATATAGTGAATTATAATGATATGACTGTCTCTTTTAAAATTTGATAGATATATAGATATAAATTCTAACGGTAACCATTTTTAGTTAATAATTACTTCTTCTCTCTATTTTTATCAGTCATCTAAGATTCCGATACAAAAATAAATACAATTACTCAATTATGTTAGGACTTTTATTTTCTAATATATTTTTGTATTCCACTGCTTAGTACCTCAGTTATTTCTTAATATATTATTAATTTATTTTAATAGTCACTCTTTGACTTCTAATTATAAATTTACTAAAGAAAATGAAGCAATTTAAAAATATTATTTTTATAAGAATTTAAAAATATTACTTCCTCCATCCCAAATTATAAGACACTTTTAAAAAAGATTCGATGTCCTAAAATATAAAATACTTAGTGAAGATTAAGATTTCATTAAATAAGCTTATTTCAATATTATTCTTTTTCTCTCTATAATTAATTTTTATCCATTTTTAATATATTAAATGATTAATATTTTAAAAATTTATATTTTATTTTAAAAAATAAAATTATTAAGTATATTTAATAAGGTTTATTAATGTATAAAATTTTATTTAAAAATATATTATAATTTTTAAAGAAGGCAGTATAATAATTAATAAGTTCACCACGGCAAGCTGGCAGGGCCAACCGTTAATCATAGCCTCGTGCTGTTGAGCATGTTTGAAGTTGACTTCAACGCTTTCAATGCAATTAGTTGCGGGATTGGCTTCTTAAATACTTTAAAATGTGTTGCCCGATTGACAGTAGTAGCATCAAATGAAGAATATTGAAATGAAACCGCAAGTGCAAACATATTAAAAGAATATTGAAATGAAACCGCAAGTGCCAACATATTAAATAAATTTAATTTAATTATTTATAACATAATGTTAACCAAAACATTTGAAATATAACATATTAAATTTAATTTAATTTAATTGTAAAAAAAATATCCCAAGTCATTAATTTACATCGGTTTTTTAATAATCTAAGTAAAAAAAATGGTAACATTTTTAAATTAACTTAAAAGTTTCTTAGAATTTCTGTGTCTGTTTTTTTTTTAAATTATAATTTTTTAAGAATTAGTATAACATTTTAAAATTACTTTTGCGTATTAAAAAGTAAAAGATCCTAGATATAAAAAAATTATAAATGCTTCACATCAAATATTTTATGAAGTATGACTTATATAAAGGATTATAAAAAATAAATAATTAATAAAGTGTCTTGAAATTAGGATAGAGGGACTCTCATATTAGATTATTTTTCTTATAAAGTACACACATAATAATTTGATAAAAGTTTCTCTTCAAAGATACATTAGTTTGACTGGAAATTTTGGTTAAAAAAAAATCAAATAACAAAACAATAGAACGATGATGGTGATGAGAAGTGTGAAATCCAATACAAATCATTCTATTTATTCCCTTCACCCATATATATTGGGCACGTTTTAGAAGAAAATGATCGTCCTTACCACAAGTTTTTTTTTTAATTTATTGCTTCGTACAGTGTATAACCGGTTATTGTATAAATACCCTTCTACCACATTCTAATGTAATCTGAAATATTCAATGATAGTGTTTGTGAGGGGCAAAAACAGAAAAGTAATTCAACTGTAAGATAGTTTTATTATTTCAATTAATTTATCTTGGTTTAGATGATAATCATTTTTTTTAATAATCACCCCTAACATAGTCATTTTTATTAAAAGGGAGAATAACACACTATACATACATACACAAATATATCAATGTCAAGTTCAAACTCAAAACACCTTCCAAGCAAAGTAGGTGTAGTTTCCATTAGAACAGTTATGGACATTGACGGCTTGACACTTGTACATGGTAAATATATATATATATATATATATGTGTGTGTGTGGTGTGTGGTGTGTGTGTGTGTGTGTGTGTGTGTGTGTGTGTGTGTGGGTTGACAATTTTGAAGTGTGCAGTCTGCTTGAGATTTTCATAAAGATATACATAAAGCATCATTAAAAGCTTTCTCTTTCACTCACTTGCCCTTCATAAGCTAAGAGCTAATTAATTTATCGTGTGGCCTTCAAGCGGAGGAAGGAAGAAGAAGAGTAGAGCCTGAACAAGTTGTAGGCAGAGACGCATGATATGACGGTCATCACGATGCAAGCAACGTAGCCACACAACAGAGCCACTCCTATTTGAACGCAGAATCTCCTGTACTTGTCACACACTTTCATCCACATCATCGCTTTTGCTCCGTCCAACGCTATCGCCGCCGCCTCCGCCGCCGCTGTGTTCGTCCCGAACGTCAGATACACTCCTACCTGCATTCTCACCCCTCTCTATATTATCCTCTCCTCATTCCAAATTATAAAGATAATTTGAAATAAGTTCGCGTACTCATAAAATTTAACGGTAATATTTTATAAATTTATCTTTTCAAAATAAAAATATAAATTTTAAAAATACTTTTTATTTAATATAATTTTAAATTAGTAATTAATTATTACAGTACAAAATTTTAATTCTCTCTTCACTTAAAAAGGTAATATTAAAAAAATTATAAAATAAACCTTATTTTTATTAAATTATCTTATATTTTGGGACAATAAAATACTTTCAAAGTTATTTTGTACTCCCTCCAAATCATAATATATAGCATCTTTTAAAAATTTTATTTTCTTCAAAATATAGGCTATTTGGTGATTTTTATAATTATTTTTTCAACTATACCTCTATTTCATTTATTACTTTTAAAAAAAATGATACATTAAAATTTTAATTATTATTATCAAAATATTTATATAGAGTATTCATTCAAGGTAAAATTAAAAAGATATAATTTTTAAAAAAATAAGATTTCAATTAATATTTTTTTAATATAGTAAATTACTTATCAATACCCTGTATTCCATATGGAGAGAGTAATTTGAGATACATAGAGTGAGTACTATTCCTCTTTCTTCTTTATTTTCATTTATTTGATGAGTCTCGCGCACAAGCACTATGTATATATGTATGTGAGTCCCATCAATATGAAGAATTCTAAAGAAGACATCCACAAACACTTGAGCTATCAAATTCGTTATGGTTGACATATCAAATTATTATTGGTCCCCAATTCTCAGTTATAACAATTGAGAGATTGATAACTGAGAATTGGGGACCAATAATAATTTAATGGTTGGATGCAATAAAATAATAAATTTTAAAAATAATTTTATAGTTTAAAAATTTTGCGCTCCAACATAATTAGTAATAATTAACAAATAATATCATTGAGTAATAATATATTTATAGTGTTATGTCTAAAAAAGTTTAATAATTGAGAGCGTCATATCTTTATCAATAAAAATAATTGAAAAAAATACTAATATAAGTTCCTATATTTTAAACGTGTTTTACACATAGTTTATTTTTGTTGTTCCTCATCTCGTCTATTTAATTTAACAACAACCTCAGTTCTTATAATTTTAAAATTACTCTTTTTATTTAAAAATATAAGGTATTTTTTAAAAGATTTCATGTTACAAAATGTAAGCCACTTTTAGAGTTTCAAAATTTAATTAATTTTTTTGTGCAAAAACACTCAATGTAAATGAATCATTTTATATTCATTTTAAAGTAAAATATACTATTAAATAAGAATAAGTATAAAAATAATTATGTTAGTTTAAAGATAATTAACTACTTTATTAGATGTTAATATTCAATTAAAAATATTTTATATTTTTTAATTGAGGAAGCTAGTACCTCATAAAGACCATGAGTTGCCCAAGCAGTAATTATTTTACTGAACTGAACACTTTCAAGTTATGTAATAATTTGGAAGTAGGTTTTTTCCCCCGAAATTTGGAAGTAGTTTAGGTCAACTAATTGTGGATTGCAAAATATATTAAATCCATGTCGGCAAAAAAAAAAAAACATCGATTTAGCTCAAATAAATACTACCATTTGGTTAGCACATGATTCTTATGATTTTTTTTAAAAAGCTAAAAGAACAAACATTAGATAGATTAAATAGAAGAGATGGAACAAACAAAAAAAAAAGCAAAATTTAAAAACAAAACACAATTAGAAATTTAAAATATGCAGACTCGAAGCGGTATTCCCCCAAAATAATTTAACATAAATATATATATATATATATATATACACACACACACACACACACACACACACTCGTTTTTCTTTTCTTGTATTGTTTGTATCATAAATGTTTGAAACTTACACTTCCACACATATCCTGACACGAGCCCGAATCACATGTGCTAACCTGATCACGTGAGACACTGACGCTAATATTTTCTTACTTTGTCAAAGTAATTTTTTGTAATAAAAATGAGAACTAAAATTCAACCAGAATTATAAACAGTATAAAACACAAAACAAAATAATAAAGAAAACTTTTTATCAATCCCCTGTGTTCAAAAATAAAAAATGAGAGTTGATCAAAGATATAAAATTTTTGAGTAATTTTAAAACTATGTTTAGCTAAATTATCAACATTACAGTTAGATTGATAACAAATAAAATTAAGAGAAACAGTACAGGTAAAGTAAATAAAATTCCGACTCCTGAGTATTTTTTTTTATCAAAAAAATAAAAACAGATTTATGGCTGTTACACAATCACGTTCTTGTATTTTTGTATACGTCCTTTTCCAACTACCAATACAAACACTCCATTAGTGCTGGACCCTGGAGGGCCCAGCTCTAAATGCAAAAGGGACCTAAATACCGGAAATACCCTCAAGCTTGTTTGGTCTATGACTCACTGCAATTTGCTTTCTTCCTTTAAAATCTAAAAACACCCTTATTTTTGCCATTTAAACCTCTTCCCTAAGTATTTTACCACTTCATTCCCATGAATCTAATCATATTATACCCCCTTAAGAAAGCTCTATGTGTGCGATATTTTTAAAATTGACTTCTCATACTATTAAATTCATCACGTTTAAATATTTATCAAGCAGGTTAATTCTAATAAAAGTATGATGAATAATATATTATTTTATTAATCTAATGTTTGTGTGTAACGAGAAAAGTAAACAAACGTCAGTCCCCCCTCTCTATATATTAGATATCATAATTAACTGGAAAATTATAATATTTGTGTGAGTGTGTGCCATGATATCTCTCATTTATTGGAAATTAACTTTAGAATATTATTGATCAAACAGAAAGAATACTTATCTGTGAGGGATTAAATTTTTTTTAAAAAAGAGCAGATTTATGGGATATTATTTTCGAAAATCATCAATCTATCGGAAATTATGATAAATTGACAAGGAAATTCTATATGTACGTACGTATGTATGTATATATTACACTGGTAAACATCCGATTTTGGGGGCATTAAACTAGAGATTCAGTTTATTTTTAAAAAATAATATAATATAACCTGTAGCCACTCATTAATTGCCAAATTAATTAGGCGAGAGAAATGATAAAAAAAAAAGAATGAAGAAGAGGAGAATGTTGGGTGCACCCAAAAGCATCTTGGAAGAGGAAAGAAGACAGTTGGGCCTCCTAATGATTCCAAGAATCTAAAGTCAATGAATCTTTTTCATTTATACAAAAAAAAAAATCAATTAAGAACTATTTAAAAAAATTTACATTAATTAATAATTAATTAACTCAATTATATACTTATCAATTTGAGTTAGTCTTTTATCAACAAGCATTTACTTAAGTTTTAATAATCTATTTTAAATTAATAACAATTCATTTAAATTTTTTTCATTTAAATTTTAATAATAAATAATTTTTAATTGATATAAATTTTCTTCAACAATCTTTCATCATTATTTTTCCTTATATAAATTCTTCCTAAGCTAACTTTATCTAATATGAGACTTTTTTTCTCTATCATGTTATATCATGTCAACTTATACTATACTCTTTATTCACCCACACTTTAAAATGTCTTATTTAATCTAATTTTACTCCATATGAGATTATATTTTTTTGTCCATACCACGTTGGGCCAGCTCCCGTTTGCTATCCCAACAAGGAAAACAGGAGGAGATGAGTGTAAAAAAAATAACAAAAAAACTGGACACACAATTTTATTTATCTTACCAATTTTGATGACTATGGGTTTTAATTTTCTTTTACTTCCAAACTGCCTCCTACTTCAAAAACTAATTAATACCGTGCCTTTACTACTTTTTCATGCGTTGGGTATGGAAGCTGAGAAAGTTTTTTATTTTAAGCGATGATTGTATGACTATAAACGTTATAGTAATTAATAAAGAGAGTTTAATTTAATTTTTTAGGTACCTGATCCAACAAGAAACAAAGCCAAGCCAAGTACAGAAGATAGCCATTGTATTTTCCTCCAGAATAACCCGAGACGAAGTGTTTACATATCTGAAGCAAGTTATAAACTGCAGCAGCAGAAGTCACGTACACCAATATTCTGCACAAGAAATTTATCAAACCCACAAATCAACAAAACTTGAAGCCACACATATATATTAAGAAATATATATATATATATATGTATGTATAGATATATCTCACTTGAGAGCTTCTAAGTCATTGTAAGTGGCCTTCTTGGTGATATATAGAATGACCTTGGTCTGAGAATCGAAGGCAACCAAACAAGCTGTTAAAACCAGGACGAGAATCGCAGAGAGTCTAAGGCAAATCTCGCCTCTTGCTTCTTTCAGAGACTCCATCATCGTCATCTTCATCTTCTTCTTCTTCTTCTTCTTTTGAGAGAGTCAATTAGGCTTTTGGGATGGAGGCAGAGAGATGAATATATTTAAAGCAAGTAGAAGGAGGCTCATGAAATAGACTTCTGGTGGGGAAACATCCACGGAGGTGAGGTTGATATTAATTTTTGCCAACAGTGCACCAAACCTCTTTATTATAATTGTCTTCGTTTCCTTTTCATCTTTAATTTATTTTTTCGGTCATTATTAATTCTCACTTCTATAGACCAAGTTCCTCCATCTTGTGTTTTAATTAACCAGTATTTAGATTTGAATTTGAACTACATCTCCTATTGCATATATAAAAGTTTATGGATATTTGAATTTGAATTTGTTTCTGTATATTCTAAATATTCTTTTCATATTTTCACTATTGGTATAACTTTCTCTCATCTCTTGTGCCTTGTTGATTAAAAATAGAGTTAAACTTGTTAATCCTAATATTGTCTTTTTGCTTCGAATCCCATTTTGTCTCTGACCTCTTCTTTTAAATTTCTTTACACTGTTAAAACAAATAATTTTAAATATATAGATTTAAATGTAACATTTTAGATGTAAAATTTAAATCCAAATCCAAATTACTCCAACAATAAAAAACACTACCCCTGTATTTTGACATAAAAAAATTTAAAATATTGATGCATCATTTGGAACTTCTAAATGCTATATAAGCAAAGCCACTTGTTATTGATTTTATATTATTTATTGATAATGTATGGATTAATTAATACTATTATGACACATAAATTAAGAAAGATATTAAATAACTTTGACTATAGCAAACTTTATATAATATTTTTACGTTAGTATTTTTTTTTTCTTTGTTGAGAACCTTGAAGTTCATGACTTACCGGATTATTTGTATCAAGGAAGGGTAAAATTGCATCCAACTAATTGAAGTTTTATTGAAAATTTGAGCTGGCCATTATTTTAAAACAAAGCTAAAATTTTACAAAACAAGATTTATTTTAAGATAAGAAAATCAAAATTAAAGTAGCATATGTGATTTGTTACGGACATTATTGATTAATTAAATTACTAGTTAGGCATTGGCACGTGGACTTTGTTTCCTTAATTCTACAATTACGTGCTGCTAATTAGTCATAAATAAAACATATCCTAACTATTAGTAAATACAGAAATTTGACTTATAAATGAGACTGAAAAAAAATTCTTATTTGAGACATATTGTAATTCTCATGAAATAATTATGCGTAAAGTTTTTATGATCCCGTTGTGCATAATATAAGGGTACTAGCTTTGGTTAGTTTTGGAATTTTTTTACCTAAACTTTAGTAGTTTATAAGATTTGAAACTAAAATAATGTGACTATAAATTTTATAAATAAATAAAAACATTTAAGCGAGGAGAAAAATTAATTTGTCCAAACTCTAGAGTATTTCACACATTCTTTTAACACTTGCAGCTAAGATCAATCTCCAAATATGTTTAGCAATAAAAAATCGTGTTTTTCTTTAGTAGGACTGAAGTCCTTGATGCTGATTAAACCTAAAATGTTACGTTAAAACTTGCTATAAAAAAAAATGTGTTCAAAACTTGCAACTGTTCTAATTATATAAGATTGAAGCATTTTTGTAGGATTTAAATTCTTTAAAGTTGAGATAGATGGATTTATGTAAAGTTTCTGTTTTTATTAATTTTTCTCATTTTTCTTATTTTTTATAAAATATAAAATTTTCTTTCTATTTTCTAAAAAGAAAAACTCCATATAAATTTACCAATCTCAATTATAAAGGATTTAAATTATTTTTTAACATTAATAACACAATCACTTTCTGGTGGAAAGCAACATTTCGCCAGACAATATAATGTCTCTTTTTTCTTTACAATATTGTCAAATTACAAATGTGCGAATCTATATATGAAAGGTCTCCATTAACGAAAATGACTCAATATTTATAAAATAAAACCTCATGTTTAAAGTTGTAAATAAAAAAAGAAAATAACAAATCTTTTGAAATAACACAATACTATAACCAGAGTTAAAAATACAAGGGTTGATGTTAAAGAGAAATAATGCATGACCATATCATATTTATGTATCTGAAATATAACATTTTCAGTTTAAAAAAGAAGTAACATGACATTTATTAACGTCCAAGAAGAGAATACTAGTTTTTAGCTAATTTTTAAAATCATGTTTGTCATTTTTATTAAATTATAATTTATTAACTTGACTATTATTGAATTATATTATAATCAATTCAGTAGCAATTAGATATAGTTTTAAATTTTATATGTTAAAAGTATCATATGATGTCAAGCAATTATTATTATTGTTATTGTTATTGTTATTATTTCACATTATTATTATTGTGAGCAGAAAAATGTCTTTTCGTGATGATTTTGGAATTTTTAATAAAAAATTATGTGATACTCCCTCTATTTAAAAATGTAGGGTATTTTTTTAGGAGTTGAATGTTAAAAAATATGAGATATTTTTAATTTTTTGAGATGTAATTATTATTTTTTAAAAAAAGTGTTCCTATTAATGAATGATTTTATATTTATTATAAGGTATTTAATAGAGGTAAATATAAAAGATAAAGTTAGTTTGAAAATAAATAATTACTTTATTAATGGTAAAATTATGTTAAAAATACCTTAAATTTTTTTAACGGAGAGAGTAAGTGATTACAACAATAAAAATTAAATTCTAAAATGTCCCTAAATTTAATTTTTAATTTTATAAAATATTTTTTTAATTCTTTAATTATGAAATTATTAATTTTAAATAATTATTTTTATGTCAATTATGATTATTTTAAAAAAATAAATTTAACATATCAATATTTAAAAATATTTTATTGATATTTACTACTTCAATATAAAAAATTTTATTAATAAAACTAGCAATGTTAATATTAAAAAACGGAAAAGACAACTCATAAAATTAAAACTCAGTAAAATTAAAAAACTAAAAGTGTACGGCAACTAAAATTAAATTTATGCACTTTTTTATTAAAGTTTATATATATTTCTAAAAATTTTTCCAGCTGCAAGGAAAGTGTACTATATTTATTGGTAATGTTATACTTTTTAAAAAAATTTAAAATATTTTTAATTAAATTTTACTCTTAATAAAGTAGTTACTTATCTTTAAATTTATTTATTTTTTATATTTAGTATTATTAATTTTAATAAAGTGTTTCACCTTAAAAAATATAAAGTAATTTATTTAATAAAAATATTTTTTTTAAAAAATAATGATTATATTTTAAAAAACTTAAAATACTTTTTATTTGTAAACATTTAATCTCTTAAAAAATAAAAAATGTCCTATATTTTTAAAAAATAATAAAAAATTTTTTTAAAATATATAAATGATGATTTGATCTTTTAAAATATTATAATTTTTTTAAAATTTTTAAAGACTTTTCTATCATTAATGAATTTTTATGAATTATCAAATTATCCTTATTAAAAATAAATAATTTATAAATTTTTTTAAATATTCACAACTTTTTTTCTTATATTCACAATAATACAACAGCAAATAAAAAATTTAACATGTAAAATTATGATTTGTTATTGTATTGTTGCAAATATAAAAAAAAATTGTAAACATTTAAATAAAATTTATGAATCATTCATTTCCAATAAAAATATTTTAATAATTTATATAAATTTATTAATGATAAAAAAATTTATAAAAATTTTAAAAAATTATAATATTTTAAAAAATTAAATTATTATTTATATATTTTAAAGAGATATTATTATTATTTTTCTTATATTTTTTAGGCAAAAAATTATAGAAGAGCTTAAATGAAACGGATGAGAAAGATAAAGTTGTAGGGATGCTGTGATATAGCTACTAGGTGCTGCAAACCTACTGGTCGCTGGAATCATGCAGTTATGAATCCAGAGAAGATGAACATGGTTTTGTTGAATCTATTTGTTCATTGGTCGTCGGAAAAAAAAAGGACTATAATAGGCAAATGTGCTTGTAACTACCACGCTTAAGAGAAACGATTTGAAAATAAGATCGAACTCAATAGTGAGATCATCAACTAGAGTCATTGACTGTTCCATTTGGATCAAATGATTGCTTTTATAATTGAGTTGAATTAGATTGGAGTTAAGCCATTATTGAACTGAAAATTAAAGTTAACTTAAAAACCAAAATAATTTTTAAAAAATTAGATAGTTTTAAATATAATATTAAAAAATTTAAAAACTATAAAAATTTAAAAATTAGAGTCTACTAAAGGTTAACTTTATTTTTTAACAATTCATATATATGAAATATGAGTTAAGACAATTTTTTATGAAAATATTGACAATTATAAATACAAACACAAATACTTTTAAGTGTATTCATATATAATTTAACCAAATTTTATCCATATTTAATAAGTTATAAAATTATAATTTATAATACTATCAATTTATAGTCATGCTTTTCATTTTATTAACACAAAATATGATAAATATTAATTAATTAAGTTTTAGGTTATTTTATACTAAAATACTATATATTTGAATCCTATATATCATTTAAGTATCAAAAAATATATTTTATATTTTTTATAAAATAAAATAATTAATTTTAAAGTGAAAAAATTAACTAAAAATGATTTAAAAAATAAAAACTTGGGTACTCAGGCCGGGCTTAACTATTCAAGTTTTTAGGAGTCTGGCTTGTTCGGGCTTATTTGGGCACCCGACCTCCTTGAATTTTCAGCTCTATAAATGAGTAGTGATGAGGTATTTATAGGCTCCCACATTCTTCCAAAAAGTTCCCACTTCCTTAATGGGCGGTTGGGATTGATTTGATCCAATGGTGTATATTTTATCTCTAGATATTTCTATAAAAAAATCTATAAGAAATATCTTGATATTTACAAGAAGAATTCTAAAATGTATAAGAGGAGGATATCTTTAAAATAATCTAAATACTTCAAATACTCTCTACACTATTTTAAAGATATCTAAGTATTTTGAAGTCATACCAACGTATTTCAGAAGACTCCGATGCCTTCTAATTATCTAAATCATTCTAAAAACTTT